TTAACACAGTATTGCTGCTCCTGAAGTCATTCCGGTTGGTGCTAGTAATCTGGGGACGGCTTGTTGATGGCACAAAAGGGACTGCCTTTCCCTGATCTTCCTCTTTTGCCGGTTCAGCATCTCAGGGGAGGCAGGGGCTCTCATGTGGGGAGATATTCACTGGCCTAAGGTCATCCAGGGAGTTCTATGGCTGGCTAACCAGGGTCCAGTATAACCAGTGTATAACCAGTATATTAGGCAGAGGCCTAATATACTATCCACTACGGCATACCCCATCTGAGGGTAAGCACGTTACAACAACGAGAAAAGATTAAAATTCAAAACCAGCAAGGAACGTGATGCAGCAGTCTAATAAACAACAACAAAAGCGAGCTGTCCTCAAGCTAGAATTAACGGAGACCAAGCAGTAATAAAAGAATCTTCAGCTGGCATCTAAAAAGATGCTTTAGGGGCCAGGCAAAGATGTCAAAGGAGGGCATTCCATGAACAAGATGCGAGGATGAGCAGAAAGGGCCTCTCCCAAATGCATTGTACTTTTGGAAGCCTGGTACTTCATAAAACAGGACCTGTACGCTCATTTTCACCAAGGCCGATGGAGCCCTGTGCAGGACAATAGGGCTGCCTCATGCTGTAATGCATCAGGTGACTCTCTTATTCAGGGGTGCTTTATTCTGCACCTTCAGGGCTGACGGGAGAGTGTGTCCAAATATGAGAGTGCTTCAGAGTGTTTCCAAATATGTAGAGACTAGCCTGCCAGTCACCTCCGAGTGGTCAGGACTTCAGAGCCAAGGCTTTTAAGGCAGGAGGCGTTCTGGTTGTGCTCTGGGATATTTGGCATTCCCGTGTCTCTGCTGTACGTTCACTAGTTTGTAACAGCTCCGCATGCTTTATTTTTAGCTAAGAAAGCGATTTCTGGAACACAGCCGCAATTTAAAATTCTACTGTGGGGAAACAGCACTTGCTTACAGTTTTGACCTTTCTTTTTTCAGTGTTTTGAGAAAGGCTGCAAATGATACAATGGACCCACATGATTTAACAATGCAATCAGGTAGTGACCAGATCAAAGTGGGTATTGCTGAAGGAGAAAACAGTTGTACCATTTCAGGTGAGACTAAATCCATTCTTACACTACAAGCCCTAAGATGAGCCCTTTGCCAAACCGCACTCACTAAATTATGAGAATGTGTATGAGATGTCTGTATTCCTTGGAAAGAAATCAACTATCTGTGTGTTTTTTGCTTCACAGAAGCTTAAGCAGCCCCCCCCCCCACCACAAGTATTTATTCTTTCTTTGGAAAAAATTCACACCGATGAACACAAGACTTTGAGATGCTAAACACACATCTGTCTGCCACATCTTCAGAGAGTTGTGGAATCAGGGTTTAAATTCTTTTTCTTTCTTTTTTTAGTGTTGTTCATACTTCATACATTATTTGATCTTCTTTCATTGTGTCAGGTGAGCTTCGAAATACCCTTTCCAGTCATTCATTCCTTTTGCTCCTCTTCCCTACTGAACCAACCCATGAAGACAAACAATGCTCCCAGGCGAGGCTGTGTATGTTCGTTCTTTTCATTACTGGCGTTCTTCCTCTGTCACAAGACAGCAGAACTGATTTGCTACTTGCGAGCCATTAATAGATTGCTATATCATATAATGAAGTGGAAGCCATTTCTTGCCAGGAGTTTGATGTTAAGCTAATTGCAATCGGCCAGACTGGACTTGCATATCTGTTTTAATATTGGGATAAGCACTGCTCTAATTGGAGATAAAAGCAGAAGATACAGTGATCTACGGAGTCTGCATTTTTCCGTATGGGGATAGGCAACTCGCAACCCAGCCCTTGGACTGTTTTCAAAAGCCTCTGCAAACAATCAGTTTGGACTACTGGAATGAAGAGTCTGTCCCTCTGAGGCAGACAGAGAGAGAAAAAAAGGGGTTCCAGAAAAGGATGGAGAAGGAGAAGGAAGTGACAGAAAATGAAAGAGGAGAGGGGTACCTTTGTTTACCTACTGCTGGCTTCAGCCACGACCATCATTAACATGTGGCACCCAACAGGTAACCCTGGAAGGAATGTGGATCACAGCAGAAGAAAGCCTCATCAACCCTCTTCTAGCAAATGAAGTAGTATTTACAGCCTACAAGTATTTAAACATGCCTGCAGTAAACAACCAGTCCAAGGCTCCTTGATCTCTTCACCCACCACTCCAAGTAGGATGAATTATATTTCTGTAGAGACGTTTACCTGAGCATTAATAGCACTGTCACAAAACCACAAGTGCCGGGGATAGGGGCAGTGCTGAACCTTAGTCTAGTTTCACAGAGCTTCAAGCTTACTCTTTCGTTCTGTTGGCCGAAGTTACAGGAATGGGAAAAGGCCTGAGAAAATTCAGGACTGGAGCATATGTTGCCTGTAAAGCATTTTGCTGTGCTTTCACACTGAAATGGCCAAAGAGGTTTGCATGCAAGAAAAAGCATAGTAAATGTAAGCTAAATCAGCAGGAAGCACTAACTGCAGCTCACAACACAGTTGAAGGCCTGGACAAATAAAAACATGTAACAGTAAGTGCCAGAGTACAGTGGGAATTACTGCCTCCTATACTGGCCGAATTCAGTGGGACAAGTAGACAGTTCAGTGGGATTTACCCCTACAGAAGTATCTATGAGAATGCCCTTCACTATACACATGACTGTGGCAAGAAGAACCCACAAGTACTGAAAAAGTCATTAAAATGGGCAAAAGTGGAACAATGACAAAGAAACAGCATCAGGACAATGGTTTGGAAAGAGTTTTGTACTCCCTGCTCTAAGGAAGGTAGAATACCACCGAGATAAAATGGTAGGATTGGATCTAGGCAGAAGTTCCACGTGATAAGATGGAGAACAATGTTCCACTTGTTTATGAGTTTTAAGTTTACACAAATGTCCTCTCTATTTGTTTAGTTTAAAATATTTATACCTTGCTTTCCCATCCTTCAGGAACCACAAGGCAGTGTAACAAACACATACAGTAAAGTAGCAACCTAGTAAAACTGACAGCAGTGAAAGGTCAAACAGGGTCGACAATTAACTTTCCAGTTTCTCACCTGCCATGTAAAGTAGCACAGCTTTTGCTTTATTTAATGAGGGAATTTCCCTTGGAAAGGAGTTCCATAGCGTATGCACCCCTACTGAGAAGGAGATACTTATCGCACATGCTTAAGTGAGCTGCAGTTTTTCTGTAAGCATCATTAACCCATATTTTGTAAGAGAAGTATGGAGCTTGATACTTCTTGCCTTGGGGGTGTTCTTGCTCTCATGGCTTCATAATCTCTTTTCTTCCAAGCAAATAATGAACTTTCTTATTTGAGGAACTGTAACAGCAAGGTCCGTGGTGTTGTATGCGCTATATCAAAGCTAGCTGGCAAGGGGAATACAAATGATGCATATATCCACATAGTAGATCACATATATTTGATATAATTTTGGGGGCACTTTTAGCAATAAACTTTATTGTATTGTGGATTATGGACTGGAATGTTTTCGGTCTTCACAAGCAAGGTTGAAGGTCCTCTAAGAAGCATCCTTGAAATATCAATATAAACCAATAATAAACAACCATACATTCCTGTGGTGATTCTCCGTCTGCAAGGAACTTTGTCTTCTTTGGACTCCTCAAGACTTAACACCTGCCCCTCATGTAGATGGGAAAATGTGAAATGTGAAATGAAAAAATTAAGGTGGGTGTTCAGATGCATTCCGTTAGTGCTTCTGCTGCATCGGTTGCCGACTGTGGAAAAACCTCAGCACCTCCACACAGCCAAAATGTGGAAACACCAAGTATGTACAACTAGAATGCATATTGGCTCTTCTGCTGCAACTGACTGTATTCCAGCTGATCACCATATCAATTACATAACTGCATTTGTTTTTCCTCTTTCCTCCTTACCTGTTTTTATTCTTGTGTTGTGACTATAACCTTGCTATAGGAACTTTTAAGAAGAAAAATATTATCATTAATAATGATAATCATTCTCCAGTCTATCCTTGGCTTCTATTGCCTGTGTTGTTTCCTCTGTGTCAACTTTTAGATTTTAAGTTTCTTGGTTCCAGTTCTCTTAATGCCCCTCCTCTGATGACATTTGGGCAGCTGGTTAAGAACCATTTGTTTCTGCCAAGCTTTTGTTGTATCAGTTCGAGATATGCTTTAATGGTATCATGTTATTTTCCCTCAAGATTTTTTTTTAATGGAAGTGTTGGAACGTAAGAAGAGCCCTGCTGGATCGGGCCCATCTAGTCCAGCATTGTCTTCACACAATGGACAACCACAAGCAGGGCAGGAGTGCAACAGTATCCCCCCACCCATGTTCCCCAGCAACTGCTGTATGTAGGTTGTATTTATAAGTGAGCATGAGTAATTATGGCTGCCACCGTAAGGGCCACTAGGGTGGAACTAAGCAGTACTGAATGGGTGCTACTCCAAGCCTGTGTTACCAAGGGAGGCATGTCTGGAAGCATCTCAAAGGAGGGCCTGGTTTGTAACCCTGTCCCAGAAATTTTCCCAAGTTTGACTTGCCCCTTCATTAATGCTTCTTCAAGGCAGACGAGTAAGATATTGTCTGTTATTGGCATTGCATTGCATTTACACCAGCCTTTCTTATCCTTGCAAGGAGCCTAACGCAACTTAGGTGTTACCTCCATGTTATTCCTCCATCAACATCCCCGTGAGGAAGGGGAGACTAAGAGGCCACGATGGTCCGCAGTCACGGAGTGAATTTCATGATGGCGGGGGGACTAGAAGCCGTGTGCCCCCGCCCCGCTGCGACCCCTACACTGCACGCCCCCCCTTCATTGAAAGCTCGTGTGGTGAAGGGGCCACGGCACTGGGCTGGCCCTCGGGCCTTCTGGCTGCTCGCCCCAGCTCAGCCTAGCCTACCCCACAGGGTTGTTGTGAGGACGGACGGGGAGAACCACGAGGCAACCCTTCCAGGACAGAGTGCAAAAGACAGACAGGAGCACCTACCTTGCTTAGCTCTGAGGGGGCCTGACCTTGGGGCTCGAGGGGCCTTCAACGGTCCCTGAGGGGCCAAGAGGCGGGCTCAGGACAGCCCCGCCCGGCAGGCCTGGCGGACGGAGGAGCGACTCGCGAATAGGAGGCGCAGCGCGGCCTGGAGCGTGGGTGGGGGGCGCCCGCCCGCCCGCCCTCGCAAGGGGAGACACGTATCCTGCACCTACGTCTGAAAGGCTGTTTCTTTACACGCCAGAGAAGCCAGCGCGTTACCGGGAGTGGCGGAACCGGCCAGGGCCCGAGGGAAGCCGGCCGCGCTGCATGCCGGGAGACGCGTCCAGTCCCGCCCGGGCCGCCGCCGCCGCCGCCGCCATGGCCGCCTCTACAGCCGCAGTGCAGGTCGGGAAGCGGCGCGCTTTCGCCTCCCCCAAGATGGCCGCCGCGCGCCGGGGCCCGCCCCTCCCTGCCCGCGCATGCGCAGTGCCTGCGGCGGGCCGAGCCTGCTCCGTCCTTCGCCTGGGTCGCTCCCTCCGCCGCCGCCTCCTCCTCCCCCGCCCGGCGGCCGCGGCGCCACTGACAAGACCGGGGCGGAAAAGGCGGTCTCCGCCGGCGCCGCCGCTGCGAGGAGAAGCCGAGGCAGAAGGAGAGAAGAAGCAGGGGAGGGCCGCCGCCGCCCGCTCCACCCTCCGCCGCCGCTCGCGGCTTCCTCCATCTTCTCTCCACACCAGCCGGCAAAGGGGAGGGGGCGAGACCCTCCTCCGGCGTGGCACAGCCGCCGCCGCCGCCTCCTCTTCATCCTCCTCCTCCTCTCCGGTGGCTGCCTTCCCTCACGAGCGAGAGCGGGAGAGATCCCCGCGGCCGCCCGCCTGCCCGCCCGCCGCACACGCGTCCTCGCGTTCACACGCGCACCGGCGGATGGGAGCGGCCTCCGAGCGCGGGTAAGACCGGCGGCTCGGCTCGGCTCGGCTCTGGCGGGGAGGGATGTGGCGGCCGAGGGCGCGAGGGTGGGGGGCGGCTCCGCGGCCTCGGGACGCCGGGCGGGAGGGAGGCCGGGCGGAAGGAGCAGCAGCTAGGCCCCGGCTGCGGGCTGCCGCCCCTGCCGCCCGCCCGCCCTCGCTCGCTCCCTCCCTCCCTCCCTCCCTCCGCCTCGCTGCTTTCCAGCTCGCACTCAAAATGGCCGCCGCGCCCGTTGATGGAGGGAGGAAGGGCGGGTGGGGGGAGGAAGGTGCTTCTCCCCCCGCGGCGGGTCCTGCCCGCCCCCTCCCCACGCTCCCCGCCGCGCAGCCCTTTCTTTTTGTCCCCCCCCCCAAATTATCGCCCCGCGGCCTTCCCTGTCCTCAGCGCCTTTCCCTTCCCGGTCCCCTTTCTGCGCCCCCCTCGCAGTGCTTCCCACCGGCTTGCTTTCTCGGGGGGGGGGGCGGCGGCAGGGCGGGCAAGTGCTGCTGGGGCGCGCGGGGGTCTCGGACGGGGGTGGTGGCCGCGCGCCCCGCCCTGCGATGTGTCCTCCCCCCGTTGTTCGCAAGCCCCGGCGCAGGCTTGCCTCCTGGCAGGCCCCCTCCCCGGGCACGAGGTGAGGGGCTCCTCCAGCCTGCGCCCCGCCTTTGCCCCCCTGCCCCGCGCACACCTTCCTCCTTCCCCATCGCTGCGCCCCACTCCTCCTCCGCGATCGCTTCCCGCACGCAGCAGCTCCAGCCTGCCTTCTGCTCCTGACCCACCCAGTGCATGGCCGTCCCCACGTAGTTCACTCCCCTACGGCTCCTTTCCCCCCAGCCGCGCCATCCCCTGATGGGTCACACCTCTCTGCTCTGCTCCTTGCACATCTCATCGTAGCATCCCGAGCACGATAACCCCCTTGTCCTCCTTCTCTGGGAGGTACGCAGCCTCTAATGGGATAAAGATTATTTTATCTCAGCCTATTGCCCCATTCCTTTTCATGGGGGAGGGGGTCAAGAAACCCTGCTGGGGCAGAGCTGCTCCTTGTTCACACCCCTCATAGGTGACACTTTCTTGCCCTTGAATGGCATGTTGAAAAGGTATCTTCTTTCCTCTTCCTGTGTGTGTGTATTCTTAAACGTACAAATTGTTTGTTCTAATGGGAGGTATAGCAGCCCTTGCTCTCTATGTTGTCTGCACATTTAGGATGCAAATAGCTTCTCATGCTTTTTTCCTTCCATTCTCTTATACTGATGAGCATAATATACCTCCATGAAGCACTCCAGTTGGAGGACAGGGAGAGGTCTTAGACCTCTTAATGTTCCCCCCTCTCTGAAGTCTTAGCACCCTTCTGTTCCTTTCCTCCAGTCCTGGTGACTGTGATGTATTCTCCCCTATTTTCCCATGCCTGATGCATTCTCCCCCATTTTCCAGGCCCTGAATTATGCTCTAGTCTCGCTACCTTATAACCCTGCCTCACTGCTATTTTTGCATCTCCTTTATATGCATTTCTTTATCTCCTTTCTCTTCCTGGTTTCCTGAGTAGTCATCTTTCACCCTTTGCAGTCTGTAGCTTCCACAGCCTCTCTGCATTTTCTGGCTTCTGTGTATCTGCTTTGTCACTCTGAATCCTCATAATGCTGCCATGCTTAAGGCACTTGGCTCTCCGGACCAGCTTTTGCCTCCTTTCCTCTAAAACCTGCTGCTTGCACTTACCATATGCACAGCAAATACAACTCTGTCTTTCCAGCATATATTACCATTGGTCTTACTCCTGGTTTGTTCAGACTAGTATATCTGTATTTTTCTTCACTAGCCCCTTATCCTTGATCCTGATGTTGCACCAACTTTCTGTAAACCTTACACTTCCCCAAGCTGTGTCCCCTGTCACACAGTCTGATCTCCACGCAACTTTCCTGCTCCCAGTACACCACCCCTGTTGTCTGCCAGCTCATCGTCTTCTCACCTCCGTACTCCCACCAGTGCATAGGCTTTAATTTTTCAGCCAGATGTTCCCATAAGCTTTGTCTCCCAGCCCACAGACCTGGACCCTCAGCTCCTTGTTTTTCAACATCTCTTCTCGGTGTTTATCACTGACTTCCTTACTTGCCCATCTGCATTCCCTGGTGTGGTCCTCTCTGGATGACATAGCAAGAAATGAGAGTGGAGGAGGTGGTAATGTTGACCCTAAGAAAGGCCTTGAAATAAAGGAGGGCTGGTCAGATTGAGAGGCTGCAGTATAGATCCTATTTTTCTCCCCATGCTGCTCTTGTCTTTATCCCCACTGTCCACAAAGGCAGGGGGAGAATGCTGGCCTACAAAATGACTGAAAAAGCAGAGTGGACAGGTGTTGGATCATTGAAACAAGGGATGTCTAGCGCTGGAAATATATGCTTGGCTGCTCTAACCTGGTCTTCTGTTAAGAGGCCTTTTCCCACCCATCTCCCTGCAGTTACCGAAGAGAAATCCTTGATAGGAGGTGGGTCAGACCTTCAAAATGAGCCGCAGCAAAAATGGGAGGAGAATGTGGTGGAAAAGGAAGGGTAGGGAGATCAGATGCCACATGTGTTGGGGGGGGGGGGGGGGGTTGTACCTTGTTGCTGGTAACCTAGTGAAAGCATTGCCTTTGATTCACACAATATTTTGAGTGGTTGGAGAGAAGGTAAAAATACTGGTCAGAAATCCCTTTCTCTTATGGTGTTCTGAATGCAGCTTTTCTTTTAACTATTAAGTTTTGCAGTTATATTGTTGACCTCTATGAAAAGTTGGGGTAGCCTTCTTCTGTGGATTTTGGGGGGGGGGCACTAGTAGGGGGTGGAGAGAGATACTGCACTCAGTCAGCCTTTGCAACGTCCCACCCCCTTTGCCATAGTAGTATTGGTTTAAAAAAAATTCTGTCCTGATTGTGCTGCAGTATGGCTTGGTGCTCGCAGGTTAAATAATTTCGAGACGAATTTCCTAGCCTAGTGAGTGTTTGATATTAAAAGCGGTAAATATAACTTCAGTGTTCCCTCTCCCCCCCCCACCACAAAAACAACCCCTCCCTGTACCAGAGCACATTAGTCTGTTTAAGGATTCATTTTGTGGACCCTCTGGAATTCTTAACATCTCGCTACTGTGCAAATGTCATTTATGCAGTGCAGTTGTGTGCGTGCGTGCATGCGTGTGCACACACAGAGTGGGATAGAACGATCTGTATTCTCAAAGATTTACAATTTATTAAATGATTGTGCACCATTGAACTGTCAGTCAAGGGCAGGCAAGAGGCTTTTAAAATGGAAATGTCCAGCGTTAGTGAACATGGTTCTAAACATCTCTGAAATAAATTGAGATACTGAACAAAGAGAAGAATGTTAACAAAAGCTTTTGCTGCAGATACCTAGTTTTGTCAGGGATGTTTTTGTGCGTTTGTGTTTGGTTGGATCGTGTTTGTGGAGGGTGCGTGCAGCCATTGAGCAGAGGAGAAGCTGGGTGGAGTCAGGCAGAAGCTGTGAAACGGCTAGATTACCCTTTTCATAGCACCCCCTCCCTTCTGCTTGTGTTTTTGCCAGGGTGGAGGGAATAGTAATTGCAGTAACAATGAAGTCTGTTCTGTAGGGAGGAGTCTAGTGATGCAGAATTCAAGTGAATGTAGTATTCTGGTATTTATTTATTTTCCTATCCCTCCCTGTATGGTGGAGCTTGATTTGTCTAGCAGCAAAGTGACCAGTCACTGTTGGAAAGCAAGGATTTTTTTGTCCGTTATTTCTCTCCAAGATTGACATAGATTTTCACTTGTTGACCTTATTATTGAGTAAATTAGTATATGTCTAGATTTGACTGGGAGATTTATACGTATAATACGTCTCGTATATCCATATTATGGATTTCTGCCTTCATTTGTTCCTACAGCTTGTGGGCAGAAGCACTGCAGTTACCCATCAAATTCAGCATGGCCATTCAGCTGCGATGACACATTTGAAGTAGCTTGCTAATCATTCTCTTTCACACTTTTAAAAAGAGCATGGTGAAGTGTAGGACAAAGGATGCAGAAAATACTTAGATGAAGTAGTAAACATGATGTTTCATCCTTCCTTACTGTTATTTAATGAAGTATGGCACTGTTCTCATTGAAATGCAATCTTTGTCATGGCAAATTCAATTCTTAACAATGGTGAAAATACATAGAATCTATCAGACAAAGCACAATCATATGATGCTTATCAATGTGGGGTATGGATTAAACAACTTAGTATGTAATTGTTTGAATTTCTGTTGCAGAATGCCTACTGATAAATACTTCTTGCATTTCTTCAGAGTGCTTCATTTAGGTTACCAATCATACAAGAACACTTCTGAGCATGAAATTAGCCAAACACGTTGACCCTGGATGCTTGGACTTAATACAGCAAGACAATGAAAGGAAGAAACAGAAATTAACATGATCATAGATCCATTCAGAAAAGCCTTTCATCTCCATACTTGGCCTCATTTACTCATACTTGGTTCCTGTGCTCCACCTGGCTTTTTTAGGTGATTCCTCTCATGTGGCTTGTCTTCCATATATATCAGTACATACCTTAATTTTCAGATTTACCTACTCTCATCTTCAGGGCTTACTGGAGTTTTGTTTTGTTTTCAGTTTACTGAGAAGATTATGTGGTTTAACTATTATGCTAATTTTCCTCTGGCCTTAAGTGGTTACGGAGAAGGTGGGTATGAATGGCTGCTAGTCCTCATGGCAGTATGCTTCCTCCAGTATGAGAGGCAGGTATGCCTTTGTATATCAGTTGCTAGGGAGCAGGGATGGGAGGGTGCTGTTGCCCTCACATTCTGCTTGTGGGTTTCCTGTGGGCAGCTACATTTTTATGTCGCACAATAGCTGAAGTTCTGTGGGTGGTTCTCAACAACTAAAACACACTATAAACTCCAGTGTTCCATGACTAGTAAAGTCTTGATCTGATCCAGCATAGTTCTCCTTGTGTTAATATGATATGAAACTCATTGTTAGGTTTTTCATATACTCTTGGGTTGGAGTGCCACACCTTTTATGATACCTCAAGAATCAAAAGGTTTAGGGCTTTATTTTGGGAGAAGGTAGAAGCTGTACCCAGGTTTCCTTAGGAAGTGCAGCTCCATTATTTTTGTTTCAAGATAGTTCTTCTGTAAAATCTCATATAAATGCCACATATTAAAGATGGAAGAAAGTCTCACTGTGTTCCAAGAAGTAACGGAAATTGAATGCAGTGAAATTTACTGAGATTGTAAAAAGTTTTGCCTTTAGAGAATAGGACATTTTGTACCATCTTTAAAAGTTTACATTCTTATCCATGTTTACCTCATTCTTTCTTTGGAACAGTTACTGCCTTGCCTACTTTTTAATTTCTGTACCATGAATCTGGGATATGACAAGAATGCAATTTGACATGGATACGGACACTCTTTGTTAGAAACACTGATGATTGGGTTTGTGGCATAAATTGCGTACTTAAATGAGCTATTTTCTTAAATATCAAGATGTAGAAACTGTCTTTCATCAATTGCTAATGGATTTTATCTATAGTGTTAGTGTTTGATTCTACTTCCAGTTTCTCCACAGTTAAGAATCCTCTGCTTGCCTTATCTCTAAAAGAATGAAATCTTCATATTTCTGTTGTAGGAAGCTTTATTTGAAAGCTTTGGTCCTGTGGAGATTTTAAAACTTAAATTTCAAAAAAGCCAATAGTTCCTTTGAGGTATCTGTTGGCTGGCTTAGCTTGGATGGGAAGACCAGTTTCACATTCTTGCTCAGCCATGGAGTTTTATGAGGCTGACCTTGATGTGTAGAGAATGACTCCCTGTGCAGGGTGGGTGTGAGAATCAACCTTGAGAGGAAATATCTGTACCTCCCTGAACTTCTTGGAGGTGGTGCACAGGAAAAAAAATTAAAATAGAACTTTGTAAACAAACAAAGCCCAAAACATTCATGGGTGTGGATCACTCACTCTCAGCCTAACCTACGTCACAAGTCTGTTGTGAGGATAATTGTGAAAGCCACGTTTGGTTTCTTGTATGAGAAGCAGGATACAAATGTAATACTAATAAAATGCAGGTATGTTGACAATGTCGAGGCTAAACTCATGGATTTGGAATGAAGTATATTATGATCCAGGTGAGTCCTAAAGGGCAGTAGAAGATGGCCAGAACAAGGCCTGATGCAGGTTTAGGTGCCAGGCTCTTCGGTGGGAGCAAGGACAATTATTATAGGAACTTATTCTTTTATTATTTGTTTTATTAATGTACTATTTATCTTATTGTATTTTATTGTAAACTGCCCAGAGAGCCCTGTGGGCTCTGGGGCAATAAATAAAAGTAACAAATAAAGAATAATATAAATTATGCACCCTATCTAGTTACCTTGTAGGCCTCTAATCCTAGCTGGAACCTTTTTTCTGTCAACTGTAAAATAAGCCAAGGAATGTTTAAGTACACTAAAGTGTCCAATATGAAAACGAATAAGTCGTTTAATGAATTGACATAAAACTGTGTGGCTTAAACAGACTGACACTGGATTGTGATGATAGATTTAAGATCTGGGTTTGGAAATAAATTGTGGGTTAATTTGCAGTATTCCAGGCTGGACAAACATTAGTGGCTAATCAGTAGTGTTATATAATTAAGGTGGGGTTCCAGATGAGACATTGTTTGGCTCTTGTAACACCTGTCCATGTAAGAGGAAAATTAAAGGCTTGCTGGAAGTTTAATAGACTTAACTGGTGCTGCCTTAAAACAATTGTGCAGCTAGGATTATGTTAGACCAAGGTTAGTTCATCTGCATAGTAAACTCTATACTGCCATAGTAATAATTTTATTCAAAGGTAGGTTTAGTTAGATTAGTTAACCAAGTCACTGATTTTAAATGAAGTTCGGCATTTAAATTTAATGTATGAAATTAATGCCTAAGTGCTGGTCCTAAGAAAGACCCTATATGGGAGTGCTTTAAAGACATTGCTGTTGTAGGTGAAATACATATACGTGCCAAATGTATACATGGAGACATAGTGGTGCAGAACCAGGTTTTAGAAATGAAAGCTTAAATAGTGTATTTGGTTGTAAATTAAGAAGCCTTAGTGGTCAGATTTGCACCATTGTTCGAGAAGTATATGAAAGGGTTTAAGTGGAAACTTCATTTAAAATCAGCTTTTCCCTTTGCTGATTTAAATCAATCAACAGGGAGGACCATATATCAGTGCAATAAAGCATATGCTTTTCATTCCACCCCGTGAGTAGCTGCCCAAATAATTCAGTTGGTCCCCTCAACATATACAAAGACGGAGTGCAGGGCATGGCAGCTGGTTGTGGGCTGCTGCAAGCTGGTGGCTTGTTTGTGGGCAACCCGTGGGCTGTTGCAGGGTTTGTTGTACCCATGATAGGTAGATCTGTTGTTGAAGCCCAGCCTGGATTTGGGGAATCAGCTATGGAGCCGCTTGGCAAGGCAGACAGTCCTTCCGCGATGATCTTGCCAAGGTAGTCCTGGCAGGCCACTTGTGCCAGCTCTCCCGAAAGGGCCCACGTGGCCTTTGGGGGCAGCTGGCCCTGTCTTCCTTCCATCCTTGCTTTGATTCTAACCTGTCCCAGACTTGCCACATTATTCTTTTGTCTTCAGGTTCGACGTTTTTTGAGTGGGACATATATGGCCCTACGTGCCAGTTAAAAATAACAGTTCCTACTCAAAATCCCCTTTCTACAGGAAGTCAGAGTTTTGACAGCTAGCTGTCAAATCTATCAAAACTCTGTTTCCCTAGGAAGAGGGAAGGTGGTAGTTTGACGTCTTCCAGAGATCCATGAAGCCCAAGAATACATGCAAAATGTGCAGCAGCAGGTGAACTCACTTGGGGATGGAGAATGAGGATCTTGCTGTGAAGGCGGTGTAAATCCCCAAACACTCCGTTTTCTCACTTGAAGATCCCCGGTGCTTTTGGTTTCTCTTGGCAGCTCATCTTTTGACTGCTGACAGGAGAAACTAAATGGGGGAAAGTGATTCGGAGTCTCCGGGCAGCAGTCTAGCATTGGTACTTATGGCATCTTGGCAAGAAGCACCCCCTGGAAATGCACCAACCAAGGCTTCAAACTCGTGTGCCATTGCAGCCATCACTTTAAAAAAAGGGGTGCTTTTCCACACAGCAAAAGGGGCTCTGACAACCAGATCTGTTGTGATAGTGCTTCTGGGGTGCTTTGAAGGGAGTATCAGTGGCTGCTAAAACGGGCGGTGGTTTCCATGTTTCCTGGCCCGGAGGGGTAAGTGGCCTGCAGATGTGGCAGGGAGACAGCTCAGTCCTCTTGTAGGTATCCCATGGAGGACTGAGGGAGGGTGGGAGGGAGATGATGAACCCACGGTGACCCAGATTGCCAAGGTGGGTTAGTGTGCCATGTGAATTGTGCCCTGTGTGTTCAGCCACGGTGTATTTCCAGCTGTTCTAAGATGGTGACAGCATTAGCAGTTCACACGGGGTGTGTCCGATTGAGTACCTCAGGCTCTGTTAAAGAAAAATGCTATTTAGCTTGCATCTTTGTTACAGAAAGAAAGTCTTGGAGTGTTCTGGGTTGGTGCAATTAAGGCCATGGAATTAAGTATGCCAGCATCTCTGATAAGCAAAAGATTTACAAGCTCGAAATTGGATGTTGTCAGCAGGGCTCTTTTTTTAAAAAGTGCTGTTATGAAATGAATGGACCAGTTGTTCCGGCTGTGCTAAAGTTTGGTCCATTCTCAGTTTAGCTGATTTATTTAAACTTTTGTATGCCGAGTTCTTGGATGGACCCTTTGGGAATGAAAAGTGGGGAGGGAGTCCTCTGAGGGATCCATTCACTGGTGTTTCAGACCTTTGGAGCCATTGTTTCTGCCGGGCCAGATTTCCTTTCTCTTGTCACTTCATAGAAATGTTGACTTTAGTGTCTTAAGTAAAGGGTGAATTTCTCTTATGTTGCATCATCCACTCTTTGCTTTCCATATTTCTCACTTTCAAAGTGCTTCTTTAAAGTGTCCAGCTAGATGGTTTGTTGGCAGAGATTGGTAACAATGGTCAGCTTAGCAAGTGCTGAAAAGGTGCTTGACAGTGTGTCTATATTGTAGATTTAAAACAGGTTAAAGGAACAATCTACTGCATATTTAGATAGGAACAAGCTATCATACTTGCCATGTACCCCAGCCATTCATAGGACTTTGTAGGCTAGGCAAAGCATTACTTAACAGCCAATGTAGTTTATTCTGTGACACTGCCACCTTGCTTTTTTTACTCCTTGAAATGGACCTGGAAGAGGCTGCTGCCTTAATTTCATAGACAGATTGTATCTGCCTTAGCTTCTGACATCAGGGGAGGTTGGACAAGGGTAAGATGCAGCTAGCCAGATAACAGAACTGCATGTGCCTTGCCAAGATCTTAAATAATTCCTATATCTCCTTGTCTGTATTATAGGAAATATTACAAAATCAGTTGTTGGTAAATTTCTAACTTTCAGTCTAAGAAATTATACTAGCATTTTCTAGGGATGCTTTT